ACTCTTTCCATGCAGCCTGCGGAAGTCTCAGCTGATACCCTCAGCAGTTTTATAGCCACAAACTGAAAGTATCTTAACAATCTAGAAATCTGTCCAGCCTATGTTTTAAAATGCCAGGATCTAAAGCATAAGAAGCAGCAATTAATATTTCAAGTTTGTTTTTTGAAAGTTTTTTTAAAGGCAAGGGGGAGATGCCAGATGAATTTTAACCAAAAGATCTAGCTTTGTACTGCAAACCCCATGTTTTCTGAAGGTAAATAATACAGTGATAATACAAAACATTATTTACAGCCTGCAGGAAGATTCCTCAGTGAAAAACTACTGTACAGCAAAGGTAATCTTTAACTTTTAAAATTAGTTGAGGAAATCTCTCCCAAACATGCTTGTTGGCTTGGTTGTTTTGTTTGGAAGACAGTTTATTCTTCACTGCCAGGTGCTGAGGCAAACAAACAGGGGTGATTCAACTGCCCTTTGTAGTCCTGTGAAGCGATGGTGGTCTCGTGAGCACAGCAAGGAAGCGCCTGTCAGCAGCAACACGTACTGCTCGGTGTGTGCTGTAACCCCCGGTCACGTGTGGGGCAACCTCCCCTTCCTGCCCAGGCCACCACCAGTCCCCAGCATGTTTTCTCTACCCAGCCAGTCTGTTAGCTAACTCCATCATCCACAGCATCCTAGGAGAATCCCAAATGCTTTGCTGTAAGGCTAGAAAGAAAGTGGGCTAAAACTCTTTGGTGCTTCTTTAAAGCTTCTTTTTTACTGATCTTGTAATGCAAACATCCTTTATGGATACACTTCAATATACACTTCAAGGAGGGAGACAGTGAAGTGGCTTTTAATGTGCACTTTATAACTGAATAGTGTCTCTTAAATGGTGGTTTACGTAAGTAGGGCTCAGGGAATTTGTGCTGCAGCAGTTACTAAGCAGTGTATGTTTTTCTCCATCGGCTGTTGAAGATTCTAACAGCACAGACTTTGAAGTGGCTTTGCATTTACAGGGTACATCTGCACTGGCAAATGAAGGTGTGATTTCAGTACAGTTGAACCTGCTTACACTAGTTTTACCCCAAATAACAATAAAGCCACTAAACATTGCAGCTAAACTGTCAGTAACTATGTTCACCCTTTCCCATCAACTCTTTCCTCTGGCTGTTAACCTCTGCAGAAGTCCATGCTGCCACCACTTCCCATGTTACCTCCCTCTGTCCTTCTCTTCCTTCTTGCAGTATCCTTAGTCAGGCGCAGAGCAACCTTAACCAGAATGGCATTTTTTAAAAGCTGCAGACAGTGGGTCAAAGGCTTCTTATAGAACCACTTGTGCAATTTTATTCCCTCTATAAAGTTCTGTTTATGGGCTTTAGCTGAATTTTAACTACAACCACAGTGTGACAGCCTGGCAACCTCTATATCCTTCCTGGGATAGATGGGAGCAATATTGAGGGATGCTGTTTCTGTGTTGCATTTCTTTTCACAAGACCGTCTACTGAGCACCTGATGCATCCCAGCTGGGTGGGACACTGTCCTCCCTGTTAAGCAATAGGACTGGGTGACAGCTGCAGAGGGTGGAAGCTGGCCGAGGACTTCACCTGGTTAGGAAACAGCAAATATGTGAGAAAGAGCAATGATCTGCAGCTAACGTTTCGGAGTCCTAAGAGGCTTGTCGTAAGAGCAGCCAAGTCTGGGGAAGAGACCTGAGCTAAGCTTTGCTACCTTAACACTAGTTTCTTTTGAATAAAGCCAAACCCCAGGAATGAGCCTATTTTGGACCCTACTGTATACGCTGTCTGTAGTGGGAGAAAACACACACTCAGTGGCTGCCTATTCACATACTAGTTTCAGCCTTAGGTTTTTTGTAGATCTATTAATTCTTTTTCCAATATATTCTGTTCCAGATTCCCTACCACAGATGTGTTGGTTTTCACATGATTTCCAAAGATTGCTCCATTTGTCTGGTTTTATTTAGGAAGAGGACAAGCAAAACTTGTAGACTATGGAAGCTGGATTCTTTGTTTTGGCTGTTTCTAGGTGGAATCAGCACTGTGGGGTTTGGGATGGGTGTCTGTGATGGGACTACATACCAGGTACAATTGGCTTATTATGAAAGTGCTGGTCTGAATCATCATTCCTTTTTTTTTTGTTTTGTGGGTTTTTTTGTTTGTTTGTTTGTTGTTTTTTTGTTTTGTTTTTTTTTGCCCCCAGCAAGGATTAAAACTGCGTAACAGAAGGATTGATACATGCTGAAGTATCATTTCTTACCTTTCTACTTTTGGATTACACTCTATAATACTTTTCATTATTTTAGACTAGCAGGATTTTACAAAGTATAAAAAAAAAACATTAAAAATACGAATCATAAAAGTCAAAGACATAAATTTGTGCATTTCTTATGTTCTGTCACTGCACACTATGCATGTCATGGCTTAGAAAGAAATGGATTTGCACTTCACTGCAGGTATACTACAATTGTCAATGGCCATTTTCACTAGATGTTACAGTTTCACATGGTAAAACAGAATTTAAAAATAAAAGGTAAACTGAACAGTGTGCTGGTAAAGCAAAATTTAATGCACAAATATATTCTGTAAGAACTGGATAGGGAATTTCTAGTTTAAGGGCAATAAACCAATACTGTAAACACTGAATTTCTCTGGTTTGTTTACTGTAAGTCATTCATTAATGAGTCAGTTTTAACACTATATTGAGTACAGCGATTGTAGATGAAGGTGATTACATATGTATTTTTTTTGTTTGGTTTTGCTTCTGTATTCAGTATTTCTGATATTTGGGGATCAGGCCCAGTCAGCATGGGTTCATAAGAGGCAGGTCCTGCTCTTATGGAGGCCTGGGTGTTGGCCTCTTCTTCCAAGTAACTAGCAATAGCATGAGAGGAAATGGGTTTAAGTTGTGACTGAGGAGGTTTAGATGGAACAGGATGCCAAGGAGGTGGTAGAGTCACCATTCCTGGAGGTGTTCAAAAACCATGTAGACATGGATGGCACTTTGGGATACAGTTTAGTGGTTATGGTAGTGTTGGGTTGATGGTTGGAATTGATGATCTTAGAGGTCTTTTCCAACTTTAATGATTCTATGATATTCTGGCTTTGTCTTACAGTGATGACTAGGGGGTTGTATGTCACTATTGAAAACTAAGTTATAAGAGGTGTCTGGTTCTAAATCAAGCCTTCATACTTGGTGATAACTTGGCTCCAAGCAGCCAGTTTGGCTTGCTGAGGAACCTACTTCTCTCCAACCTTCGTATTTGAAGTTAAATTAATAGTTTCAATTATTTTTCTTTACTTTTGGCAGCTGATTTTCATTATAATACTATAATGACATTCTTAATTTAATTGACACAGTTGTCTTAACTCAGCCTCATTAATGGTGTATATCTCATTATTCCTGTAGTAGGTTACTTCTAAAGCAGCAACATCCAACCTGTAGCAACTTACTCAGCTTTTAGCTGCGTGTAAGTTCTGTGACATCCTGCCAAAGTTGTGGCATGCAGCCAGGGAAGCAAATGGTAATTTATAAAATCGATGGATAATACCTGTATTTTCACTAGCAGCCAGTTACAGTGAGCGAGAATGCCACGTGGCAACAGAACACAAATGTCACTAGATGACAGCAGCGACGATAGAAGCAGACTTCTCAAAACTGGGAGTAGACTTTGAATGTCAGACACTTAACAACAGCCCCAGCTAATACTGCTCATATAGGAACATATATTAAGCTGTTAGATTAATATATTAGCTCTCACTGTATAACAAGCCTCGCACAGACTCTTGCACATTCTGAACATTTAATTCATTTAACTGTGTATAATGACATGACAGGAGCCATTAAGACTTGAACATGTACACTCTGGCAGACAAAAATGCAGCTCTTTACATTGCTGGGAATAATTCACAGAGAAAGGTGTCAGAATTAGATGTGCTTAAGCTCAAGTTAAAATGATGGCTAAAAATTTTCTCATCACCAACGTTAGTATAGTGTGTTTATGAAAGCAAACTCACTGAAAACTCAGTAACATGTAAGACTGAAGAAACAGCACTCTCTTGAACAAGATTAACTCTCTCCATATCTGGGAGAGATAGGTTTGCTGGAAGGGTGTACTCAGTAACATGTATAAATGTGCTGTC